TAAAGTTTAGGAAATGTCTTTAGGTTCAAAACCAACCTCTAAAATGCGCTGGAAGGGGTCGAAGTCCTCTTGGAGGGGGCGGATCACCCATAAAGAGGCGGATCGCCCAACATACGCTGTGCAGAGTCGCGCTTGACTAGCGGTCGTTGCGGGACCGCCGCGCTGTATGAGGTCGATTCCATAAGAACGCAATTGAAGCGCTTCAATTTCGATTGCTGGCAAATAGTTATGTATTTGCAAGCATGCAGCTATTTGCCAGCAGTTGCAATTAAAGCGCATGTACTACGGGCAGGTTCGGACAACTCGTCCAACACACGTCTCTCCCTAAACGGCAGGGCATGTCCCTGTCTAAGCCCCAGTTGGGCGTTTTCTTCACTTTTTCTCTTTACGTTCGACCACTTTTCACCTACAACTTCCATATAGGTGCTTTTGGCCCGCAAATTCGTTCCTGGACTGTTGCTTTAACAAAAATTGGATGAGAAGAATTACGTGCTAGCATCATGAAAACACGTACCTTTAGCCGTTACTGCTTTGATGCACTTGAACAGAACACAAACGGTGAAAGTTGGAAATGGGCAATCAGTATTTTGGCTACACTGTTGTCCAAGTTGAATGCAGACACCTTCAATGCAAAATATATTCGAAGTGACGGAACACTGATAGTCATGCGAGCACGTTTTCGGTGGTCTCTCTCCACTTCCTGCCGTCAGGGAACCACTTCCTCCCGTCGGAGAACCACTTCCTCCCGCATAATATGTGATACGTGATGGCGTGCCTTGTGCAGCCTTTGTGCAATGTGATCCGGTGCACGAGGTAAGGGTAGGGAAAGGGCACTGAGAGTTTGTGCTACACTGCTGTCCAAGTTGAACGCAGACATTTTCAAGGCAATATATCTGCGAAGGGATGGAACAGTCAAAGTCATTCTTACACATATGCTGATATCCTCCACTTCTCGACTGGGGATATGAATTCGATGATGTCGTGGCTTTTGTGCATTGTGATCCGGTGCACGAGGTAAGGGTTGGGAAAGGACACTGAGAGGTTGCGCTACAATGCTGTCCGAGTTGAACGCAGACATTTTCGAGGCAATATATTTGCGAAGAGACGGAACAGTCATAGTCATTCGTACACCAAGTCAGTTGATTTCCCCCACTTCCGCCCGTCTGGGAGTATGGATTCGATGACATCGACATAGCCTTTGTGCATCGTGATCCCATGCAAGTTGTGAAGGATGGGAAAGGACACTGGGACCTTGTGGAACACTGCTGTCCAAGTTGAACACAGACATTTTCAAGACAAAACATATTTGATTGCGTGGGACAGTCACTGTCCGTGCTACACATTGTGATTCCTGTCAAACCCACGACACTTGGGACCGTTCCAATATTCAACACTGCTCCGGATTTGGTACATCGTGATTCTCCACAAAGCGTAAGTGATGGGAACGGGCAATCGCTATTATCGTTACAATATTGTCCAAGCTGAATGCAGACATTATCCAGGCAGAATACATTTGACTGAGGTGAACAGTCGTTGTCTGTACTACACTGTTTCATAAGATTCCATCCACCATTAGGTGGGGCATACCATGCTGAGTTCCAAACTGCTCCCTGTTTCATGCATTGAGATCCCGCACAGTAGGTAAGAGATGGAAACGGACAATTGCTGTTCACGTTGCATTGCTTGTCCAAGTTGAACACAAAGGTTTTCTAAGCACAAAATTCCCATCTGAGGATTGCAGTCGTTGTCTGTTTGGCAGTAATTGATTCCCGGCCAGTAAATGAAAGCTGGGGACTGCGTTGAAACCGCTACTCCAGAAGTATCACTATATGATATTTGATAACTGAAAAGAGAACGATTTAACAAAAGTGCATGGGCGTAGGCGATTTTTACTCAGCGAATGAATTTGAACTCAGTTTACCTCATTGGTACAGTCTCTATTTTTATTTGTCCCACTGCTAATTGTTGCGTAAATTGTAGATGCACTGAAAACCGGTTATATCAGATCAATTCTTAATCGAGGTGGATGGATGTCACTCACCGTCGACAATTTTCATGAGAAGAATTAGGAATACCTAAATACACGAGAGCAAGGGAAGCAATTTCAATTGATGAAGAAACTTGATTAAGGCAACAGTCCCAGCAGGGTTTTTACCTTCGACACTAATGGTGTGGAACGATGCGCTAGCCCTAGTCAAGAACATAAGAAGTGTGACTGAACAAAAAACTCACCTTGGAAAGCCGCTAGAAAGGGAGCTGAAGGACTTTTTTTTTCTCGATTTTTCGCTTCAGATTATTCGGTGTGTTTGTTGTGGGGACAATCCGGTTCTAAACCTCGGCTATTTTTACTACAGGGTCACTCCTTCGATGTTTAACTTTTTGGATAAATTTTTTATACGACTCGCTCCTCCTCTCGCGCGCGCCCTCTCGTTCATTGCGGTGATTATATTACGCGATTTGGCCGCCCTATTAGTATGTGACGCTCGGTGTGTAGGGACAGGTGTTTACTCCAAGTACTAATTGTTGCTAGATCGGTATACTTATGTCGGATACTACATATTATGTGGAGTACGACTTCTAGCTCAATATTTCACGACGATCATTTGCTAGTCGCTGTTCCAACACAAACAGAGAATGATATGTGCGATTCACATTATCGGTGTACTCCGAGAAGGCTTCCGTACGGGTGTGCAAACTAGGCGGGATGAAAGTATTATATCCTCGATCAGTTGACCGGAAGCATTTTGGCCACAATAGTTTACTTCACTGATGATAAAAGAAATTTTAATGTGACAAGGAGAAAAAGATTATATCGTTCAACTTTTGGTGAGAATTACTGAAGGATCTTCTCATCGTTTCTTCTTCACTTGTCAAGCGTCAAGTGTTTAGACCCCCCCCTCTTATAAGGCGTAGTAAGTTTCGCTTCATAGTCGAGCTGTCTGGCACGAAGTGATCTTGACTTGGAAAATTCATATTATTCTTCTACTTCAGAACCAGTGGGTAAAATATATTCTGAATAGTTAATTTGAACTAAAAATCTGTGAAAGTACTTGTTAATTTTTTTCTGTATTAAATGCTCGAAGGCGTGATTTATTTGACTTTATTACGATTTTCATATCACTGTCAAAAATCATTCTAATGGTTTGGGAAAAGTTTGCTTATAGAGGTATAAAAACTACAGAGAGGGATTCAAGCTTCTTCTTAACTTCGAGCACCCAGCGTTCTAAAGATCAGTCATGTGGTTCTTCCAATAATTAGTCCAGTTGTTACTTTTTGGTCCTGGATAACCAGTGTTTATACGCCTTATTTGACGTTAGTGGAGCGTTGTATTTTTTTGAGAGAAGAATCCTCTGAAACGTGTTTTACAGTATCTAAAATCACTAAGTGCGTCAAGAAAAGAAACCTCAGTTTGGTGGATAGATTCGAAGACGGGATCAGGACGCGGAGTGCATATTGAATATAGACTACTACTCAGTGTCTTAAGTGTCTTTTTACACCATATGACGAACGAGCTACTCGCTCTAAGTCGTCCCGCTGAATGATATCTTGCATTTTCAGATAGATATACTAGGCAACCCGTTGCGCTTACTGTATTGTATTGTTGAGTGTTACTGTTTATTATATCAAGCTATTTTCGAACTGCATAGTTTTATTCGTTAGTTGTTTCCACTCGCCGCCGTACTTCTTGAAGACAATTTTTAGTGTCTTAAGATTTAAGGCTGGTGCCTTAGAAGCTCGAGCTTGCGGTCATTCAATTTCAATTTACAAATACAATGGTGTGAGGACTAGTTGCACTCGTGGGCCGGAGACCAGAGCTGTGCATGCCTGGGTTGGCTCTGACCGCGTACCTTTAAGTTTCGCGCTGATTCATTCAAATGAGCGTATCTACTTTTAGCAGGAGGGTAAGCTTGTCTGTTATTATGTGGCATGGCTAGCATGTATAGTACAGTCATCTTTAAAAAAGGTGATAGTCACGATAGAATGTGCTATCTATATGCACAGATATTTTACGAAGAATCACAGTCGGCCACTCGAGAGAGTACACCCCTTCAGCTCTAACTGAGTACGACCCCACAACCAGATTAAAAGGCGATCTAAGGGCTGACCCTGCTTCACTCCGGCTAACTACTAGGTAGTTCGCGTCAGTATCAGCTTTGCTGATGACACTCTGGCGCGGACTGACAGTATTGCTTAAGAGCGCCTGAAATCAACATACTAGAAATCAGTGCGGCAGGGACGCATGACCTAGTAGTGAGTGTAGAGCTGTATTCGAACTTAGATCGTCGGGCTACTGAGTGAGCGCCGTGTATGCTATTTAGCGCTCGCTCGTCATTACTTTCGACTCTCTCGTGCACAGTTCGCGAATAACGCATAAACAGGCACTTTTGGACGCGCGAGAATATCGCGAAAGAACCGATTAACGTCACTAGTAATTGTACTGTATTGTACGAGCTTGGTGCGCGCGAGATATGAATTCCCAGCCTGCATTTCACAAGCACTGATCAAGAAACCCTCCCCTCCTCGCGCCTGACATCTCAAAATCATCAGCTCTGCTTGAGATACTCTTTTCTCGAACAAGGAAAAAACCAAGAAAAACCGGTGAGCAGGAAAAAAGGGCTCCCACTGGAGAAACGAATCCCACTGCATTTGATTCTGGAAATTGCTGCAAGCGAAAGTGTCGATTAAGAGATCCAATTAACTCACATCGAGTGACGCTTCGGAAACTCGTTCACGACATCGCAACGTCGGACCAGACAACTAGCGAGAACTGCGTCTCTGGACGAATCTGTTGATATCACCCACGTACAGAGGGGAACTATTCGCCAGCATCGTTCTTAGGACGCAGATATTCACTCTCGCCAACCGTGAGCCATCTCTGCTCTCCGCGCGCATACATTTACTATCGGCTTTACTCTCCACGCAGGTGAAGATGTCGGTCAGACTCTGCGATTGCATCGCGCGATGCAGTCGCTCTGCCTAGAGCGATTGGCATCGCTCCAAAGTGCGAGCGACGGGAGATTTACCCCGCCGACGACCGATACACACGGCGCCGCTCGGGTAAATCTCCCGTCGCTCGCACTTTGGAGCGATGCCAATCGCTCTAGGCAGAGCGACTGCATCGCGCGATGCAATCGCAGAGTCTGACCGACATCTGAGCTATGGCCGAGGATTTCCTTGACCGTTATTCACCCTGCTTCGAAGCCGTTCAGCTCCCTTTCTAGCGGCTTTCCAAGGTGAGTTTTTTGTTCAGTCACACTTCTTATGTTCTTGACTAGGGCTAGCGCATCGTTCCACACCATTAGTGTCGAAGGTAAAACCTGTCGGGACTGTTGCTTCAATGAAAAACTCACGAGGGTTTTATTCGCCATTGTCTCTGCCGCTTGAGACTTGAAGTCTTTATCCTTCTATAGCCTAAATGGAGGCAGTTTACAAATACGCTTCAATACCCTCCAAAATGAGTTTGCCGAAATTGAAGCCCATCAAAGCCAAGTATATGTACAGAAAGCACATTTACCCGGCTTACACGAGCTTGCCGAAGTGTGTTACCCACACTTGATAGGGGCTCTACTGCAACGGTTTCTGCATACTGTTTTGTAATAAATATAGAGTGTAGGAAGAAAGTCAGAATGAGCATTTTCGCTGGCCCTTATAAGGAAGCGTCCTACTTTTTAAAAACGAAAATCGAAACTCCACTCTCCCAAAAAGGCTTACAACAGCGAGGATTACACATAGCTGAGATGCAGAAGGCATTGTAGAAGAATGCAAAATCGGAAAAAAAGTGAGCGACTCAGAAGTTTACGACAGCTCCGCTTTCTGCTTCCTTTATAAAGACTCTCCGTTTCCCAAGAATTACTTTAGTTTTATGACGGTGTATAGAGGCAATATTTCGTGTTATGGGCGTGAGATACGGCTCCCCTGAATAAATGAGAAATCATTTACACAACATTCCACAAAATCTCCATAGTTTGCGTCCCTTCACCTGTATCACCTGTCGTCCCGTTGATCATCGAATTGCTCGAGCGGGCGCCAGCAACGTCTCCAAGAGTCCCTGTCGCGTGCAAGTGGTCCAGTGGACCCTCCTCGCTCGAGGGACACGATGTCCTTCATTCCTTTCGTTCAGAGCTTTCGTGAAGAAGTCTGACCATCGGGCCGGCGGTCGTCCAGGTGTTCGTTTGACGTCCCGAGGCGTCGTATAAAGAAGAACTTTATCTCTGCTTCAGAATCAGCGGAATTTGTTAAGTAGGGAATCCTGTCCTTCGCCGACGGAACCGCCGCATACGTTTGGGTCTCCCGTTCAGTTGCTCCTATGCTCTTTTCCCTCCTTTCTCATAAAAATAATTAATCTTGTTTTTCAAAATATACGAATTTCACAATATAGCACACTCCTATGCTATTCGCGGCAGGAATCATTGTGCACATGGTTGTTCCACATCTTGATTCATTGACCATGCCTTTCTGTATGCCACACTTGCGCATAGTCAGAAGAAAGTAACTCTACCTTCATCATCAGTGGTGCTAGGCTTACAATGTTCTCCACACCAAATCGTGAACCCCGCATTCAATTTCGGAAGGTTGCAGCTGATTTCGTACATGTTGCAGCCGATTTCGTTTTTCTTCGACTCCGGTTCATAAGCGCCAGTCGTCATCTTAACCCCGATTTGTCTTCCTGAATCAATTTTGGGCGCTACTGCACAACCCCAGTGGTGAGGGGGATGAGGAGGGGTGAGACGAGTCAAAATAAAGGTTTCCGCTACAACCTCCCCTACAAAGGCTTGTTGAGGGATCACGAATATGACGTGCGTGCAAGGCGCTGGCGCCAAAATTAGCCTATCAGGCCTCAGGTGGCGCACGAATGATTCTTACAAAATCGCCATAAATAGTATAGAGGTTTATTTGGGTTTTTGATTTCGAATAATCTATTACTTTAGCTGTTGGTGTCTTATAGCGCCAGCTGGTGCTATCTCATCTCGACAGCTTTTTTCAAACTTCTAGAGTAAACTCGGTGTAAACTTCTAGATATGGGCCAAAGTAGGTTGTATCTTAATTACAAATACGACATTCTTTTTCAGCATCCGCGCTGTTTAACTGCTGTTGCTCTACTGAACGCTCTCACTTACAGCGCCTGTGACTAAGCTTAGGGAAGAGGGGTGAGATTCCGAAGTGGGGGAACCACGTACGCACCTTATAGCGAATGTTGAAGGGTGTGAGATTACAGGGTAAGGCTTACTCCTCGAAGTCCTCACTTTCCCAAGGCTCAGTTCTTATCGCGATCTTTTTAGTGAGAGGGCACACACGTGCAGGTAATTGGGGCCAAATAGCGGACGACAAAAAAGTATGTCATATCCGTAATCAGGACCACAAATAACACCTATACACAACTTTAACCCATTCGTGACAATGGCAGCCACCGGTGGCTGACAAATCTCACTCGGGACAATGGTATTACCGGTGCCGTGTTTCAAATGGAATTTGGAAAGTTTTCTTTCCTGAAAAGAATCTTCATACCCTCATTCATCTACGCCAGCCCTGGGCAGGGGAAATCTCCATCCACTCAAATTTTATTGAAGAAAAATCTCCTGACTCTGCTGCTATTGCGCAATCCGCGCGGTCGCGAATGGGTTAAAGTGAATTTGGTGGGAGTCAATTGCGACGCCACCTGATGGTAGATGACGCCAATTTGGCGCCAGCGTCAAAAATAGATGTCATATTCGTGATCAGGCTTCTCGATATCCCCAACAGGGAACGTATCAGCGCAAAAATTCTTTTGCTTCACCTCTAGGGTTGTAGTAGAGCCCGAAATTGACTGCAAGAGTGACGAATTTTGCTGCAAGTCTCACGAACTGGGGGGCGGGGAGAACCCTGTAAGGAACCCGTGGTTAGGCTCTATTTCACGCAACCTCCACCAAACCTCCCATACCCCTGGGTCGTTGGTACAGACTTGTCTGGGAGGATAAAAACACTGACTTGTACATCGGCTGGCCCCCGCAAGTCATTGTATAGGCCACATCGCATTCAAATGCCACTACGAATGTGAAATGGAAGTAGAATGCGTGGCCGCATCCCGGAATGGGATTATTCAACGCTGATTGCTTGATTAATCAGCGCCGAATACTTGATCCTCTACCCACAACTACGGAACCTCTTCTACCGAATGGGTGAACTCGTCCGCAAACGTAAGGGAAGGTGGCGGTGGTTGCCATGACAACTGGAAAGAGGGTGGACAATAACCACGACGTGAGCACACCACTGCGACAGATGTTCTCCCCCAATTTTCCATAATGAAGGTATTTAATTACAATTCATTTCAATGCTTTATTGATTTCTTTCTTTGATGTATTTAATCTGTTGAGAAGGTTGAGAGGACCACCAAAGGGGGAGGGGTAAGATGTTAGCTTGCTGCTTGCGTTCTCCCTGTGCATCATGGCTGGAAGTGTAGAATTCAAAGCGTGATAGATATAAGTTTCCAGCGAGATCAATCAATACTTATCTAATGACTATTCAGCTATCACGCTTATCTAGCTTCAGCTATCTCCTAATGTCCCAGTCAAAGGACATGGCTTACATTATCCCCTAACCTCTGAACCCCCCCCGATAATGAACATGGCCAGGAACGTCCTCAGTCAACTGTAATCATGAAAAGCAGTTGTTGTGTACCGTTTGTTAACATTCATAACGCCGCATTCTTTCACAACATTTCGAAAGATTCAATGATTCTGCGGTACACCGAACGTTCCAAATCATCGTGTGTGGCCCAGTCGTAACTTGGAAATTCCCAGACTCGCTCATGAGAAAAAACCCCGATTGCGTGTTTTTTCGACGGTCGCGGCGCGGCAGATGCTTTCGCTACGAGAGCACGCGCCTGATTTTTGTCCAAAGCTGTCGTGCGAAATGTAAGCGACCACAAGCAGCACTACCACTTTTGGTCTAACCAATCGGCGCTATTATCACATGCCGATGATACTGAAAATGACATCTCCCAAGAGTCTGGGGGCCAGGTGGCGACAATTGGCGCCAGTTTGGCGTCAGGGCTTTTTTCACAAATTATTATTATTATTATTATTATTATTATTATTATTATTATTATTATTATTATTATTATTATTATTATTATTATTATTATTATTATTATTATTATTATTATTATTATTATTATTATTATTATTATTATTATTATTATTATTATTATTATTATTATTATTATTATTATTTATTATTATTATTATTATTATTATTATTATTATTATTATTATTATTATTATTATTATTATTATTATTATTATTATTATTATTATTATTATTATTATTATTATTATTATTATTATTATTATATTATCGGTAACGAAGAAATAATAGCAGTACATTAACCTGTTTAATGCAAATGTCCCATACAATAAAGGAGACAAACAAGAAGAATCAATTCAGCGCTTAATATTGAATTCGCTGTAATCTTGTATACTGGGGTTTTCAAAGTTTCGATTACGAATATGACAATTGTTTTTGGTGCGTTTGCGCCTTCAGCGATATTTTCGCGTTCTCCGGGACCTCTATTGTATAATGTTATTCTACGGGCCGAGCAGGGAGAGGGGCGGTCTCCGGGTGGCATGAACCAGGCACTGTCTGGGCAAAGGCTTGAAAGCGTTATGAGTATCAGAGAGTTAGTCAGAGTTATTACTCACTTCGGAGCGCTCTCTCTCCCCAACGGCTTAGTCCTGATTGCGACTTTATGAATAAAGAGGTGCAGACGAGCCAGAAAATAGACGCCAAATGGCTGCCAGCGGCAAAATGAATGTTATATTCGTAATCAGGACTCCAGAAAACCCTTTTATAGTACAACTTACTACAGCGAATTGGGTGGAAATAGATCAAAAAAAACGCCCCGGAGCGCTAAGAGTTGGCGCCAACACTACTAAAGAAAATATCAGTTGTCGGGTAATCAGGAAATGGAATTACCCCCACGAGCAAAGATTCGACGACCATAAAATTTTGAGTTTTTGGGGTTTGTAATAGTTGAATAGTGCCAACAGTCTTCGAATTAAGTAGGCTCTAGTCCCTGTTTCGTTGAGCCTGGTATGGCGTAATCGCCTAATCCCCCCCCCCCTACTTCACCCCCAGCCATGGCCCCAACTTTGTTAAACTACAAGAGCCAGCTGCCTATGCAAAATGTGCTTTAATCCAGAATAAGAATACTCGTTACACAGGCCCAACTGACTAAACTGGAATAGGCTCAGAGTTCACCGATCGGTATTATCTGACAGACAGCCCATGTGCATTGCAAGGAAGTGTGCTTGTGAAGACAATGTTCAGGCCATTATGGAGCTACCAGCGCTAATAATCGCTTGCTAGTCGCTTTATGATACTCAATTTTCGGGGTAGGGTAGACTTACCAGGAGGCCCGTCGACGCGGCAAGAGGCACTTCACGAGGAGTCAGCGCCCGCGTATCTATTGGGATTTCGACGTCGAGTTGAATATGGGGCCCACTGCACGTCCCTACTTCGCGCACCCGCACTTCGGGCGAAACTGCGCAACGTGGCCGTTGAGAACTGCGCAACGCAGGGTTGACTCTGACTGCAACTCGTCTTCTTGCCGCGCGACGGGCCTCCTGGGGGTACCCGAAAGTTACATATGCTTCATTTTGGGAAAGCTTCCAAGCCGTAAGAATTTTTTTTCTATTTTTTCCATTTTCTCTTCATTGCCATGAACTTGTGAATGAAAAGAGTGTTGAAAATAAAGGCAAAGCGCTATGAACAGAAGGATAAGTGGCTTAATTGGAACCATCGAAGTAAGAATGTTCTTAACTCCCACTGCTGGGAAATTGAATTAGTGTCGCTTTTTGTTACCACTCGCTTTTGTTACCACTATTCGTCGTTTTGATTGAAATCCTTTTATTATATGCTTAGATAACCTTTACGCATTGGACATTGCTGAAATTATTTTGTGACATTCATGTTCATTTACAAAACAAAATCTGCGGTGTGTGGTGAGGCGGCGGCGCTCCACGAAAATCGCGTTCGTCCCACGCGACCCAGTGGAAAAAGGGCGCCGTCGTGAATATTTTAAACGTTTTATGGCGGCGGCCGTGATGTCTCACATGAAAGTACCATATATAATCGTACACATTTACTGAAAGATGCAAACAGAGAAGTCAAGCGAAAAGTTCAGAGGGGTCCCCAATAGAACTGGCTCATGGGTGTGGAGCGTAATATGTGCAAGAATGCGCGCGGTCGCGTTGCAGCTGCACCACGACCGCACGCTTGACCTTCTCCAAGAAGATCCTGGTTTCAAACTAGTGCAGGTCGGGAGGTGAAGTTCGTAAAACACAAATGGGGACATCGCGCGCGGCATTTCATAGCTGGTACCTCGATACGGTAACAAACCAGTATGGGCGCAATGTGGCTCGAGGGGGGGGGGGCAGACGCGCGATCTCTGCTCGTCCGCGCCCTGTAGTACTAAGCCTAGGAGTGGGCAGGAACTTTGGGAAGATGAAAATTGCTATGATCCTGGAGTTCCTCCTCCCCTGCCCGAGGCTTAGTCCCGATTTAGCGAAGAGGAAATGCTTACACAGAAAAACGCAGAGATCGCGCGCGGCGACTGCCCCCCCCCCCCCCTCCGAGCCACATTGCGCTTCAGTATGGATGAAAGACGCGTGTGCGCGGCTTTTAAGACTCATTGACCCAGACCCGCTTGTGAGTGCCACCGAAACTGTTCTAAATAATGACTTTGGTACGTAACCTCCCCTTCAAAAAGCGAGAAAGTGTCGGGTGCAGACCAAACACCACAACTGACGACGGCCTCCAAGTAAATCTGGTTAGAAGTTGTTCATAGTGATAGCTGATTTCTGGTAAATGATAGTTGTAATTAGTGACAATCGATAGAATACAATTGGGTGCTAGCGTAGTTGAGGGGGGGGGCACGCGGCTGCGCGACTGTATTTCGGAACTGCGTCGCGACGACGATGGAAACGGCTACTCAGGACTAAGCCTTGGGAAGCCCAGACGAACAGACGCCGCGCCGCCGCGTGGCCCCCCTCAACTACAATAGATACGCTCAACTACGCTAGCACCTACAACTGCAACAGGCTAATCATTTCATTGGCAGAAAACATTAACATTTTGTGAAGGCCGTCGTCACTTGTGGTGCATGGTCTGCACCCGACACTTTCTCGCTTTTTGAAGGGGAGGGTACATATCTTCCACTTGTTTAATTTCAGCTGCTTTTTCGGATCACTGATGAGACTGTCGGTCCGGGTCAAACATGTATTGCGTGGCGACCAAACGGCAGTACACTTGCCTTGGCCAGGTACATTTCTAGCCTTGTCGAGCAATTTTGCCGTACTTGTTCAATCGCAAACATTTCAGTGCAAACAAAAGCGTGGTTCTGTACGATAAGAAAGGAGCAATTGTTGACGTATTGGATGTGACTGGGTTAGTTTTGTATAGCGTTTACCCATCACGAACCGACAAGACTTACAAAACGCACCGCAACCGCGCGCATCAATTCACCGTTTGTAGGACACAATGTATTTCAGTTCAACGAATCAAAAATAGTACCAGGATACTAGCCATTGTTCCAGAAATGTTATCGCCATGGCGTGGGATAAAGAGGGAGACGTTTTGGGTATCATCGTCGACGCATCATCGTTGGCGATTCTTTGGAACATGAACACTCGCAATGCAGAACAATTGGAAACAGCGATGGGAGCCAGGTTTGGTGTTTGATCAAATATGGAAATTATACTGAAGGAATTCACTACTGATGCTTGTCCGCAATATCATACCGCTACGCGAGCGTGTGCGCCGGGCGTGTTGGCGTGCATTCATGCAACGCCGTAGATGCATGTGTATATGATTTTGGCATTATTCCAGAGAACTTCCCTCATGCCTTGCTTGGTCTTCCGTGTCACCTCTACTGGCTATTGGCAACAGTAACGGAAACCTGTTCATTTACAACCAGAAAATGTCAAGGTGGGTCCCAAAGTTCTTATTGATTTTTTTCGCGGCATTTCCGACTTACGGTTTCCGAAAAACTCAAGCTGGTCACTGATCTGCTATGAGCTCTCATGAGGAAACGTTATTTTCTCATTTAACTAGGCCACATTTCATAGGAAGAATTGCGTTGCAGTAAAAAGATCTAAAATAGATGCAAAATCATTAAAATTTAACGAGTAAATTATTTAAAATGAAACAATTTTAGAAAAATACCCGTACTCGGTAAACACCAGCGAAAAATTACCGGAGTTGCAATGACGAAGCAGGATGAGATTTTGTGTTGTAGTGATGACAACACAATCACTGGTGAGTTCATGCATTTCAACTCGAACATGCAGCATACCATTTGATCGGGATGAGCCATGCGTTCGTCAAGCTTCTAAAACAACAGACGTGATTGTATGCGTGAATGCTCAATACATGAGCCTCATAAAATCTGTTTGAAGCGCACGCGCTTGTTTACCAAGGTGGGGCCGATTCACTGCAGATAGTGATTCCATTGAAGAGTGTGGGGGTGGAACTCAACAATGGCATAGTAAAGCAATCATACCTCAACTGCAATCGATTCGTCAGCGAAGAAGGAAAAACATCGGAGGATGGGGTAAAAGGCCCTTTTTTCTGCACAGGGGAGAGTCCATGAGTAGCACGTTCCAAAGATGGCAGGGAGGCGAGGAAACAGACTCGGAGACGAGGGGAGTGGGACGTTTGATCAAGATTTCAGAGAGAGCGACAATCGAGACGCAGACCCTAATTCACGAGCGCTAGGCCTGGCCTGCAATGTTGCAGAAACACCCTCGCGGTGCAGCTTGAGCCTCAAAAGTGCACTACCTCGTCGCACCTGGATGCGCATACCTCGTCCTTACAAGATGATAAGTGGCGAGGGGGGGGGGGTGATCAACAAATTGATATCGGATTGTGTGTTCAATAAATTGCTCTTAAGTGTCATCAGCGGATGGTGAGACGACGAGAACGCTTACGGTATCCGGTGAACCATATGATCTACAAGTTGGCGAAGTGAAACGACCTGGAGGAAATGTGGACGTGATAGTGAGTCAACCCCTGAATAGTAATGGTACAACCACTTTATTGTTGAGAGAATAACACATGGTGCATTCGCAGGTTTTTCATTTCTAGAAAAAAAAAAGATAAGAAGGCGAGAGTAACAGCGTCACCGCTGGGATATGCGTCTTGAGCCTAATCCTTAACGATAAGTCCAGGTACCCAGTTTTTTCGGAATTTAGGTGAGTGCTGTGCTGGCCAAGAAGACGCTCTTTCTCTCAACCTTGTCGGATAAACCCGCAGAGAAATTGAACGCTGACGGTGAAAGCGAGAACTCGATGAACCTTCAATTTCAGGAGAAATACGGATCCATTATTGCTCATGTTTGGTGAGTTGATTTTTATTAAGTCGGTTTGGCAGGAACTTCTCAGAACGTGCCGTGCGTTCACCTTCCAAACATTCGTGTTCAATTATTTTTAAACCGACAAATATTCATTATAATCGTAGCAAAATTCAGGTTCAACGATGGCTATATGATTGTCGGCTTTGAGAAGTATTTGTCGTTGCATTTCCTGGCTCAATCCATCTGAAATGGGACAGGTGAACGTAGCTTAATTTTTAAATGACTGAGAAGAATCGCAATAAAACCGCCGCTCTGGTCGCCCGTGTTCGTCACCTCCCCTCGGCCTCCCCGCCGCGATTTCCCTTTGCGGACAGGGAGAAGGGTCTGGGAAGAAACCGTGGAATGCTTGAAAAATTCCATGCGAAAATAACAACAACTGCCAAGGAATGAACATGAATATCGGACTTGGGAGAAAACAGAACTATTGGTTCATTGTGTCTTGACCTTCAAGGCAGAGCATCATGGCCGAGGAGCGGAGCGGTTTCAATGGAACACTTGAGCCGTACTCCCTCCGAAAGCGGTAACCCCACACGGTGGCTCTTGTGTGGTACCCGGTCGGTAGCGGGGCATACCCCGTTAAGCTGCGCGTCAATGAGATATAAGTCAAATATAAATGTCATAATTAGCTGAGCAAAACCAGCCCTTTTGCGGTTTTGGCTGTGCCGTGACAATCTGAAGTGTGCGGGGAGGTGTCGGTCGAATACTATCTTCACTCGGTGTACGTAGGAAAGTAATGACGCAAGTGTGCTGCTGTCCAGACCTTCCGCCCCAAAAGGGCTATTTGCTCAACCGCCCGGCTAAACTTGAGAGACGGATCTCCAGCCGGCGCCTCTCGACGGCCGTAATCCTAGGCTAGCCCTGAAAAGGTAAGCATCAAACGAGGTGGTTTTGACCGACGCGAAGTAAGTAGTCTGTCGACAGTCGGGAACCTCCACCACCCCGCAAGCATTGCAGCAAACCGCCCGGACCCCCTCAAAGAAAACGCCAAAGGGGCTGGTTTGCTTACTTCGTCAATCTGGGGCTGACGCTGATGGAATGATTGTTGTAATTTTTGCAGGACATGGTTATGTCTCGGTAGGAATTGAACCCACGGCCCTCTGATGCACAGATATGAGCCAACACTCTTGTCCACTCGGCTCTCCTCACTTTCAGTGTGCCACACCACATTGTTCACAAACTGCGTCACTTTTCCTCCTCCACCTAACTCACCCCAACGTCATTCTTTCACCTAGTCTTGTCATTTGTCTAGCCCAGATTCTGGTGCCTTTTGAGCTCTGTCTCTATTCAGCCTTACCTTTGCTGTCCCTAAATAATTCCTTTACCAATCTTTTTATGAAGGCAAAAATGTAAAATTACTACTTTTGAACACTTTTTCTCAAGGAAGAACCATCTAATCAATCCTATTCTGTTTAGGAAATCTTCAGCGTAGCCGAATACAAAACATACTTGGCAGCAGTCACGGCCAGTCAGCCTTTCGGGAAGATACTAACCGTCGGCGATCATCAGTGGGTATTTCTGAAGAATTAGTGAAAGAACAAACTTACTTGGAAGCTTTCTTACTTTTTTATGAATTGCTTTTCGCCACACTTTGCGATGTGAATGTGATCAGAAGGGTACTGACAAAATCATTGTCCCACGAAGGAGTCGAACTCCTCACCTCTCGTTTTCCGAGAGTTTGTGGTATCAAAAGCAGCACTGCGAAGCAGGCAAGGAGTGTTGTAATGAGCGAGGCCCTGGTGGTGTAATCGGTAGCAAAGTTGCCCGAAAAGCGAGAAGTACAGTTCCGATTCACATCGAGCATAGCTTTGCCCATAACTCACCTTTCAGATTAATTGAGTTCTTTTCAGGATCAAAGTGCGTGAAATGAGAGAACTCAACGATATGTTTGTGATCATGGAGGTAGACACTGAAAAAGGTTAGTTTGTGACAGAAGAATCCTATCGGACAAAAGACAAACAATTCGGGCTTTGTAAGTTCAACAAGAACCTAATAATAATAGCAGTAATCATTCTAAATAATAAAAAACATGATGAGCTTTTCGAGGATGAAGGACGATCACAAGGACAAAACGTAAACAAGTTTTTACTAATCCTTTTTAGACCGATGTCAGACTTTGCGAATCGAGCGAATCGCTGTATCCGAGCGTTGCGCCAGCGAATCGAACGTTGCACCAGCGAATCGAACTTGTACCAGCGACTCGAATATTGGCGGGACCAACATTTAAAGAAACTGCTCCACTTCTAAAGGAAGCACTGTAATAAAGCGCAAGGATTCCTTAGACTTGAGTCCCGCCACTTTCAAACAGTGTCGATCGCGGTTACGTTCGTTGACTCGCTGTACATAGCTGGTCATCGCGATTCCTCGCTAAGTCCGGTTCGCGTGCAACGTTCATTCGCGGTCAAACCGCTCCGTATCTAGCGATTCGCTCGATTACTCCGACATCCTCCTCAGAGCAGAGTTTTTGCTGACTAACTATAGCGCTCCTGCTGACTACTAGTTCGAACAAAAAGTTGATTAATTAAGAAGGATATTATGCACTTTCCGGCGTCGATCATTCCCTTCTGGGATGCGCCACGCACTTACTTCCATTCAAAATCGTAGTGACACTTCAATGCAACATACCTTTATGGGAATTTAAGGCTGCTTTGTGTCTGTTTTCACTGTTCCAAACATAATGGTGTCAAAACTGAAGGACCATAATGATAGAAAGCTTGGTCTCAGCCTGGGCAAAAACTCCGATCCACAGATTTGATCCCTGTACTCATGCACTGTGAATGTACTCTTACCACTTTCTGCGACCTCAGCTGCGATTGTCTGAATAGATTGAATCAAATCAAGGTACCAAAATCTAATAATGCAAACCCTCTTCAGATTTATCACAAGTGGAGTGCTCAGCAGACGGTCAACTGGTGGCGGTGGCAGCTCGTGGAGGTGGCGTGTATATCTCACAAAAATGCCCACAATGTGCACCTAATGATACGAGCGGTGCTATCGTCCCCTGGAACAGATCCACCTATCTGATCCACGAATAAGGTTTGGAATTTAGTGGTAATTTTGACACCATGAAAATTTTTATTTTTGAATACGCTCAACCATATTTGATTGGGATTCAGCAAAAAGGAATTGTAATTAACATCACCATCGAGCCATCGGTCATCGCTGTCGGTCCCTATCACGTCGCTGCTGCGACCAACAATCGCGTCTGGATTTACAACATCTCTACTGCAAGGTAAGAAATCGATTAAGAGATCATACCTCAGAACCAGTTTACCCCGGACTTTTAACGTTTTATCTGGTAAGCAGTTTGTGCCCCTTCGCCACCTAGACTTCATCATTACCTTTAACCCTATCTTCTTACCTAGCTCATTTACCTGTGATCCATTCAATCACCTACCTTGGCCCTTATTACACTTAAGTTCCCCTTTCCAATGACGCTCAGCGTCTGACCTTAAAAACGAGCGGAGCTCCTTTCGCTTCTGGCTCTGGGTGACATACATACCCTGACAGTAGCACTGAATGCAACATCGTTCCCAGCCTCTCCGATCAGGGCTAAACGAGGCGTCAAGGAAAATTTCGATATACGACCCCCCCCCTTAGTAAAAAAATTTTCCATGCAAAACAGCCCTGCTACAGGCGGCCTGTCAGCAATTGTGACTAACTTCGCAACACCCTGTGTCCGAATGGAGCGGCTCAATGTTCTGCATTAAGAGGTGAAATGTTGAACTCGTGACACAACAACTCGTTCTTGCTTCTCAGATATTTTCCAGGCTACAATTCAGTTTAAGCCGCCTATTATCCAATTGGTAGTTCCTCAAATTTGAAACATGATCGACAGATAATTCAAAAAAGAACCTTAAAACTTTAGGGATGAACCAAAGCGTGGCGGCCGAGGGCGAGTATCTCTCTTCAGTTATCGACATCAAACTGAATGACGAGTTCATCTGTGTGATTATGGAAGGCAAGGCGAGGCTTCACCGGGTTAGTTTCGCTCAGCAGAACTTACAAGGAAGGTGGGGGGGGTCCTTCAGAGCAAACCGCGCATTTCCAAACGGCTTCTTGCATATTGTAGGGACGCAAGTACGGACCACAAAACCATGTTTCATTTTCACTAAACGGTTTTTGTAGCATCAAAAGAGTTCTAAATGGTACTGTTGCTGTTCAACCCCCCCCCCCCTCTGAGACGAAATTTTGCATTTTGGGTTGGCGACCACCGGTTGGCGTCAAATGTCAAAACCAGATGCCATATTCGGCGTCAGGACCACGTTGACGTCAACAAGTAGCCGCCAACCTTGAATGCAAAATTTTTGACGCCACCGGGAACTGAACCATCAACGGTATCATACACTGCCTTTTTGATACCACGAAAAGTTTAGCGAATACGAAAAATGGTTTTGGAGAAACCATCTTGAAAAAGCGTGGTTTGCCTGGAAAGCCCCCCCCCCTTGTGAGACATTGTGAAAAATCAGAAACAAATCGCTAAAAATGAACTACAAGTAGGACGCAGAAGCTACCCTTAACAGATCCTCAACTCCGACTCGGGCCCGCCATGAACGTTCCGAACCACAGGACTCCGAATTACTCGCGAGCACTTTCGAAAGCTATTTTTGTCTTCCGCAGAAATGAGCTTAATCGCTAATGAAGCCTTAGGCCGATGTCAGACTTTGCGAATCGCGCGATTCGCTAGCGTCTGCGGTCGCGTCGCGGCCAGTGAATCACTCAATTGGCTGGTACCGCAACGCGACCGCGGACGCTAGCGAATCGCGCGAATCGCTAGTAGCGAATCGCGCGATTCGCAAAGTCTGACATCGGCCTTAGATTTACTACCGTTAATAACATTGAATTTTCTAGTCCAATTACCTGGTGTCTCTCGACTAGAGAATGGGGTTGGAGTGAAAAACGCCATACAACAGCCTATAACTCAAATTCTTTCCGATAGAATGGATTATCGGTGCCATCTTTGACGAACGAGCTCAAGACTGGGTGTAGCATAAGTGAATCGCTGTGATGATAAAAAGAACTCGAGTGAATTCTAATAACATATTTTCATCGCAGTGGACGACTCCATGCATAAGTTACCTGCTGTTGGTTCCGCTATACATGTGAGTTTTTCCAAGCAGTATCAGAATTTCAAACATGTACCTCTAGGGCTAGGGTGGGTCGTATACGGGCTGTTTTGGATAAAAGGATCCGTGGGTGAAAGGGTGACCTGGCCAATTTAAGTTGAATTTGTGAAGATCTAGGAAAAAACCTAAATTCTGACTATTGCAACTAGCGGGGGGGGGCGTAAAAAAGACCATTTTGCCCAGGTCGCACTTCGGCCTTTTTTCTCGCAGAGATTGCCGTCGTTGACGGAAGTTCCTCAGCAAAATATTCCTAAAATGTCCCTCTATAAGTACACGCAGGCCCTCCTTCACTACCCTCACCGTCTTCAGAATATGACGTCATCTGTCACCGTCGTCGAGCTCAGGGCCTACAGTAACTGCTTCAGCCTGAAGCTCTTACATAATTTCTTGGATCGATTCAACGTGGGATAGTTTCCTAGGACATTAGCTCTAATATGCCAAATCCCCTCGAAACCCGCCCTTTGGAACCCGTCGTAACGGTACACGATCAGTCGAGAACCCCATTGAGAGCTCGACCAGAGCACCATGTTTCCGGGCAAACTTTTCTGATGCCGTCCACGTAGATGGCCACTATGAAGATTTTCTTATGAAATGAAATGCGCTCTTCAATTCTAAGTTGGGAGCACACGCTTTGAGCTGAGCAAAGTGTGATTAAATCCACATTTGAGTCTGGAGACAAAATGTCTTTTTTATTGCCCCCCTCCCCCTGTACTTACCTTCTATCCGGGGCGGAAACGGTGTAGTGGTAAGTGACGCTTCTTGTCACGCGCGTGGTCCAAGGATCAAATACTGGGTCGTGCGCTGCCCAAGCCAATCGAGGCCTTCCATTCCCACCATTCCTATTCGTTGCTGGCTGCATACACCTTCCAAAATGCCACCTCAATTGCCCTATCAATTGATTGAAGGTGTTCCTAGCCCAATGGCGCCGATCCACACTCAGTGTCATCACTGAAACCGAAATCTCTCATAGACAAGCATCCCTTTCCCATCCCTTCTACTCAGTAAAAGACTGCGTGGCGCAGCCCCATACGAATGACACTTAAAATCCATTCACAATTTAACAATTCACTATTGTTTATCGAGCTTTTACATTATTGCAGTACAAAGCTGCTCTATGGGAGACGTTCACAATTGACCGAGACACGTTTGTGGTCTACGATAACTCAAACATCTACGTCTACCTGTTGAATCGAAGCCCAATAGAAGGTTTGCCCGTAATTCCTATATTTTATATTTGTCTACAATATTTTTTTACTTCGACCACCGCTTGCGCTGATATCTCGGCTACCTAAACCTAGACTAGACACAGTTCCAAATTCATGACAACTAAGGGGCGTGGCTCGGAGCGGACGCGTTGCGATTACGCTTCGTCATTGTCGAGGAAAATTGATCGAAAATAAGATGAATATTTCCAGATGAATCTGTCCTTTACATTGGTTGCACTAAGCTCCCATTCGCCCATGCTCCGCTGATGCTCAGCAAGGTATTTATTCCAATTTTTAAGTGTGACTTGAACTCTCTAGGAATTTCGCACTATTTTCACATTTTCAAGGGAATCGTGCACTGTCTCACATCATCGGGTAAGACCAAGTGGTGTTCTACTGGACAGCCATCGAACCGATACCGTACTGGAGGGGAAACCTCAGGCCGTGGTAAGAATTTATTGATTTATCCATAATCTGTATAAACCCATTCGGTGTAGAACGCCCAGATGAGGGACTCAAAACGCTAAATCAAAGTCCAAGAAGGTAAAAGAGAATAAACGAGAGACGTATGGCCCTATTTTGAAGACATATTCTGCGGTCAGGCCAGCGATGATTATCAGTGCGATCAATTACTAAGATAAAGTAGTTGTGTGGTACGGACGAGTTTTCCGGCAGCAGCAGGATTGGGCGATTGCTTTCTTAAAATCCCCCTTATAGCATCCAACTAAACAGACCAAATTTAGAAGACTTGCATTAACCTCGCTTTTAGTAAGACCGCGCAATATGGCCGGACGCATAGTCGGTCGGACGACAGCAACGACTGCAAGTGTCGCACAGCATTGGGTGCGTATCGATCTGCGACACTTGCGACCGCTGCTGTCGGACGACAGCAACGATCGTAAGTGTCGCAGATCAATACGCAGCTACTATTCCACACTACAGTGGGACTTTCGAAATACGATCACGCGCAGTCACGTGTTGTCTGGGTTAGCATTGGGTGACCGCGTCGCCTTCCATTTGCAACCGCGGTTTATGCGACACTTGCGGTCGTTGCTGTCGTCCGACCGACTATGCGTCCGGCCTATGACCGCCTCCCGTCCATTCCATTTAACTTGACCTGAAATCGCTACAGCACGTGCTGCGAGTCGTCCGCTGTCTCTGCCTTGTTACCGAGCGACGGGCCTTCTGTCGGGTACCGCAATCATACCTACCAATTTCTTTGATTTCATTTCTGGGACAGAGCCTCAAATTGATCACGGTGGCGTCGGCAGTAACCACTTTACCCGGTGTTCTTATCCCTTCTGAGCTTCCTCCCTTTCTGCCCTTCCAATTTAGGTCAAAAGAAAGGAAAAAGTGATGTTCAATGATTCCAATAGCGTCCAGTAGTGTGAATACACTCTATACATAATGGTTTTCGATTTTCCATGAAGTATCGTGCTTATGACCCGTATTTTTTTACTGGGGGGGGGGGTACATCTGTGGGGCGCAAAATAGAGGCGCACCTCCATATTAGCTATGCACCCTCTACTTCCCATAATTTCATCCTTATCATCTATGCATTTCCCATCATAATCATGCCACGTACGAAGGTGTAGTGTATGTCATGGCGGTCTATTTGACAAAATTGCACCTTCAATGCGCGACTTTGCATTAATCGGTGATCACCAAAGGTTAATGTGGTGTCAACAAGGCAAGTGATTGTTAAATTTAGCAAATGAAAGTGAACATATGGTGAAAAAATTGGG